ACGATCGATTCTCTAACTTCAATTATATAAAACAATAACAAAATAAATATTTAAAAAATGGATATTAAAATAAATAGTCTACGGCTGATATCTCATAGACACGTTTACATTTACTCATAAATTTATGTCTGCAAGGATTTTCAACTAGTATCTCACAAATACGTTTATATCTACTCGTAAATCTATGTCTACAAGGACTTTCATTATGATGAACAATCTCATAGATACGTTTACATCTACCCGTGAATTTATTTCATGTAACTTATCACCGTTTATAAAAATAATTATTTCAATAGATAGATTTTTTTCTGTTTGTAAACGCATTGAACTTGTGTGTCCATTTATAAAAAATATTTAAAACTTATTCCCGTTTATAAAAATAATTGTATCAATAATTAAATTTTTTCAGTTTATAAAAATATTTGTAATTTATTCTTGTTTATAAAAATTATTGTAACTTATTTTCGCTTGTAAAAGTAATATATCAATATGTAGACTTTTTCTTATTTATAAGTATCTTGAATTCGTGTGACAATTTATAAAAATATTTTAACTTATTTATGTTAAAAACAATTATATTAATATTTGAATTTATACAATTATTTGTAATTTATTCCTGTTTATAAAAATGATTGTATAATTTTTTACCATTTATCATTATTTTCTTTCACAGTTATTATTTATCATTAATTTTTATGACTACCATTTATCACTATTTTTGAAATAATTTTGTTTTGTTTTAGTAATTTATAAGTTAAAAAAATTATAAAATAACTATTGATTTTGTTTTTATTAAGCTTTTTCTAAAAATCTAAATAATTAGAAAGTATATAATTTTAGAATTTTAGAATTTTAATAAAAAATTAAATAATATAAAAATAAATTAGCAGTATTAGACATCTAAAAACTAAAATAGAGTATAAATATATTACATAAAGTTAAAAAGACAATTTTAAAATCATTTTTATAGTAAAAATATTTTAAATTGAAAAACTAAATTATTCATATATTTTAAAATAAAAAACTATATGCCAATATCCAAAACTATATGTTAACAAAATGATAATAAATAATTAAATAAAATAATAATTAAATATTCCAAAACAAATTATAATAAATAATTAAATAAAATAATACAAAAAATATAAAATAAGACTCAAATATCATGGAGGGGCGGTATTATGAAAAATCACTATTTAATGTTAATTTATATGTTTTACAAATTTATTAATTCTTGAATCAGATTTTCATATTAAATTTTTAATTCCTTTAATAAAAAATATTTTTTTAATTTATATAAGTTATAGAAAAAATAGAGTATATTATTAATTATGGGTGTGGTGTTTATGGATCCGACAATTCATAAATAATAACGTATTATATTTTTTTCTTTCAATTTTGTATAAATTTAGGAATTATTCGGTTAATCATTAATCATCTTATTTATTGAAAAACTTATATAAATTTAACAATTAATTCTATTAAAACTTTAAGAAATATGGGAAAGAATACCACAAAATTAAAACATAAATTAACATAAAAATTAAGATATATTTCTCTTTGATCTTTAAATGTCATTTTCTTTCTTTTTTGCCTATTAACAATTGGATGAATCCAACAGCTCAAAACCACACATGAGAGAGAACATGAGAGAGAAAATTGGAGAGGATCAAATTCCAACAATAACTCTCTCCTTGCAAACAACTTATCAGAAAATATAAAAAAACTTAACAAAGCTCTTTCTCAAAAATTGCATTAGCCAAAACTAACCGAATAGAAAAAAAAGAAGATTTGTTAAACTTATCTGGCAATTTACAATATCTCCCTCAAACTATATACAACTTCACCAAGCTTATGTTTCACTTTGTTCCTTGATTTCAAATGGATCAGATTATAAATCATAACATTACTATTATATAAGACCAAAATGAAATCAAATTTTAGTAAAGAGGTAGCTTCATAAGCGAGTAACTCAATCAAATTTTACAGGCTACAATTTTAATATCAACAAAAGATATTATAGGATTCTATTTTCAAATATGATAAGAAACTGCATCAGTAGAAGATATCAGTAAAAGATATTATGATTCTAAAGGTTACATATAAAAAGGAAATTCAAATCCAATTATTAAAAATTATTAGCATTAATCTGCACATTTATGTAGTGAAAAACTTAAATATCAAAAAATGAAAATATTCTAAACTTGTCTCATTCAATAGTTTATTATATGCATGTTTAATATAATAAATGTAATTTTGGTGCCATTTAAACAAATAATAAGAATGCAGAATAAAATTATGCAAAAGTAGCAAACCCATAAAAGTTATAGTTAACATCATAGTCATGCATACTTCTGTTGAATCTCACCAGTATGTTGTCATTGCATCTTGAATATTTCATCAACCTCAACCTAAAAAAATGGAATCAAAACATTGTAGTAAATATAAACAATTTAGATAGAAACTACCATAAACTAAACACATGTTAGTAGCTGGAGTGTCATAGTCTGCAATTATTATGTGAGTACAATAATGGCAACAAATATACATATCCTAAAATACGGTACTGAATGAGCCTTTCTCAACATCCCATTATTTTCATCTCTGCTGTCCTTTGCATCTATTCACATTCATTTGATCTTTCAATCTGACACATGAGCTGGTGGTGGTCCGGAGCTTTCGGTGCTGCCAAGGTAACAAACATCCTTCACTGTTTCATCTCCATTTCCCTTTATTCAACTTTTTTTTCTTTCCAATTGTTAATAATTATTCTATGTTTCTATGCAGAAAACATTGGAGGAAGATGAAGCATCACAAAGCTTCCAGAACGTAGTGTTGGTGATCGGCGTGACTGACATAGTTGGTGTTGGAGCAAGGTAATGAAAGGGGAGAAGAAGAATGAGCAATGAATGATAATAAAGAGGACTACTATTGTATATCAAAAGAGGAATGAATGAGTTACAATATTGATAGCCTAGGTATCATATTTATACTAAAAATGAAAATGCCAAAAGGCCTTATTAAAGAATAAGCATTAGGAATCGTAGACATTAACTAAATTATATTTCATTATCCTTCAACATGGCACACTGATAGACTTCTCCTTCAGAGTCGACTTCATTATCCTGCAACATGTCAAAATCTGCAAACCTTCTTGGTTTTTGTCTGATTCTCTGTGGTCTTTGAGCTTGTTCTGAAACTGCACCAGAACTACTACTTTCAGAGTTACCACCTTCAGAGTTTTCCCTTCCAGAACTATGATCACCACCAGATTCTGGATCATCGTCAGCATCTGGATTAGAATCAGATCCATTTCCTGAATCTTCTTTTGACTCATCTTCAGAATCTTCAGGATCAGATTCATCTTCTGAACTTTCTAAAACATCTTTAGAGGCTAACTCTGTGTTGGTATTACACCAAAATCTGATTGAGATTTGTTCCAATCCCATGCTTCAGACTCTTTCACCACAACGTTTCTGCTGACTTCAACTTTATTAGTTTCTGGACAATAAAGCTTATACGCACCTGTACTGTGGTACCCCACCAGCAACATTACTTTGCTTCTATCATCCAGTTTTTGTCTTCTAGCTTCTGGAACGTGTTTGTAACAGACAGAGCCAAACACCTTCAGATAACTAACACTCTGCTTATCTCCAGTCCATTTCTCTAAAGGAACAATTTCCTTCAGTTTCTTCGTTGGACACTTATTCAGAATATATGTTGATGTGGCAATAGCTTCTCCCCATAGCACGTGAGGTAGCTTTTCTCTTTCAACATGCTTCTGGTCATATCAAGCAAAGTTTTGTTTCTTCTTTCAGCAAGATCATTGTGCTGAGGAGTATATGGAGCAGTAACCTCATGTTCTATTCCACTCTCCTCACAGAACTGCTGAAACACTGTAGAGTTATACTCACCTCCACCATTTGTTCTCAGAATTTTTAACTTCTGACCACTCTGCTTCTTAGCCTTCACTTTGAATTTCTGGAACTCAGTAAACACTTCATGCTTGAGCAACACTCTGCTTCTCAGCAGTTCTCTATTCTTCAGTTGCATCTGCTGCAGCTGGTACATAACCATCTTTAACCAAATCCAGAACATCTTGTGCACCAAACAGCACACGCATTTGTATCATCCATCTGTTCCAGTTTTTATCATTAAAAACTGGAAGTTTTGTGTTCAAACTACTGTCTCCACTCATTTTAAACCCTGTACGGATTTTTCAGATCTTCACTGTTTTCCAACCCACAGAATCAGATTCTGTTAAGATTTTGTTCAAGATTTAAACAGAAAATCAATGAACCAAAATCAAACACACAGCTCACAAACACTCGTGTTTCCCAGGAAAAATAGAACCGAGTGCTCTAGATACCAATTTGTTGGTGCAATGTACTGAAAGGGGAGAAGAAGAATGAGCAATGAATGATAACAAATAGGACTACTATTGTATATCAAAAGAGGAATGAATGAGTTACAATATTGATAGCCTAGGTATCATATTTATACTAAAAATGAAAATGCCAAAAGACTCTATTAAAGAATAAGCATTGGAAATTGTAAACATTAACTAAATTATATTTCCAATAGTTGGCAACAGCCTCGCCGAAATTCTTTTAGATTGTTTATATCTTTGTTAGAAGATATAAATCTTAGATCTTCTTATATCTTTGTAGAAGATATATTTTAGATTTAATTTGTGTGTATAAATAGCCTAGTGGAGTAGGTTATTGTAATTCATTGTAAATTCTTTTTTTAAAGCTATCAATAAATATTTCTTTTGTCTTTTATCTTCCTTGTGCTCGAACATTTAAGACCGTTTGATCTGATCGGCAAGATTAATAGCCACGAGCCTCCATCACCGAGGATCTCGCGCGTTTGGATATATCGAATTTCTACTACACTTAGGAAGATATATTATTTGAAGAAACAAAAAAGAAAGAGGGTTTAAGTTGGTCTGTTCATAGACCTCTTCTCATCTTTGGATATTCTCACCTTCCAGTTTGATGAATGTTGTTGGCACTCTTTACATTTACGCTGCAATTTGCAAGCATGAAGATGTTCCGTTAAGAATTCCCGACACAAAGGAAGCTTGGGAGAGTTACTATATGGCTTCTGATGCAGATTTGATTGCAGAGCAACACATTTGGGCAGCGGTGGATCCCTATGCTAAGAACGAGGCCTTCAACTGTAGCAATGGTGATGTGTTCAGGTGGAAGCAATTGTGGAAGGTTTTGGCGGAACAGTTTGCCTCGTTTGAGGTTGTCAGAACTGATGAAGGATAAGAGTCCTGTTTGGGATGAGATTGTGAAGGATAATGAGCTTGAAGCTACGAAGCTGGAAGAAGTTGGTGAGTGGTGGGTTGCAGATGCTACTTTTGGATTGGAAAATGTTGTAGATAGTATGAACAAGGCGAAAGAGCATGGGTTTTTGGGATTCAGAAATAGCAAGAATTCTCTGATTAATTGGATAGATAACACAAGAGCTTATAAGATTGTTCCGTAAATCATGTATATTGTGCCTCTGCTTTCTGTTGTCGTGTATCCTGTTTCTTTGCTGTACTAATAATTTTGTTGGTATGGGAGATGAATTTGTGTTTTGTAAACCAAGAGAAAAGTTGGTGTCCGTTTTACGGTGGGAGAACTGACTTTAGGTTTTGCATTTTGTATTCGCAAATGTTTCGGTTTAGCAAGAGTCGCCACCGACTTTTTATTTTATCCAAAGGAAAGGTCAAAAAGCACAGGAAAGACCTTTGAGATGTTTTCTTGGGTTCGGGGAGTAGATTATAGAAAGGGAAGGTATTAGCACCCTTTCAATCCATGGTTATTCATTGGCTCTTAGTTACTTGTTTAGATCACTTGTTTTGCTTTTCAATTGTTTGAAATTGTGCTCTTCAATTGTTTGAAATGGTTCTTTGTGTGTGGTTTTGAAAGATGTTTTGAAAAGAGACCGTCATTGTGGCAACCTTTGTAATGATTCTTGTTTGAATGTATACAAATGTGTTTTTTGTCTTTTGGAAAGTTTCCAATGTTTGAAAGTAGGGTTTTGAAATTGTGTAGCAAGGATGTTTTTGCAAGTTTTTGATCAAGTAACTAAGAGCTATCTACCCTATTTTACTCAAAGATATTTCTTATGTTTTTAACCCTTTTAACAGTGTTGCTTCACCATTGTATTTGGTGAACAACCTTGTGTTATGATGTTAAACGGGACAGACGCGGGTCATCGTATAGACCATGATAGCAATTGTGTCAAGTATTTTTGGCAATTTCCTTAAGGGACTTGATCATTTTGTTTAGGCAACCTAGATAGCGTCATCGAGGGACTATGATCTTTTGTTTTGTTTTTGTTTTGCCAAAGTACTTGACATGCATATCATGGCCCATTTTTGAAGGCAACAAGTGGATTGTAACCCTAGGGGTGTAAGTGTGCATTGTGTTTGTTTTTCATGCATTTTTGTCTTTGATTAGGTCAAACTATTTGTTGGTTTTGATTTTGCATACAAACCCTAATTCTAATCATGACATAATTGAAAGCATTTAAGTGCGTAAATAAATCTAAGCTATTACAACTTTGATATAGGGAGGGGGTACAATTTTGAATAGGTTATTTGACAAGAAATATAAAACCCTAATTACTATTACATCCAAATTGAATTCTTTGTGCAATGTTAAAATAAATGGGCAATATTTAAATAAACACAATAAATAAATGTTAAATAAAAATGTATTTATGCAAAAAAGGTTTTTTATGTATGTAAAGCATTTTCAATAGAAAGAAATATAAAGAATTAAAAAGTTAATTTATTTATTTTTAGGGTAAACACTAATTCTCCTTAAAGAAAATAAAATTGTATTATTTATATACAAAATATATTAATATGTTACAAAATAAGAATATATTATAAAAAAAATGTTTTTTTTGTATAAGATAATAATAAAAATAAAAATGTAATATTTTTGGGTTTTTTATTCTAATTATTTAATAAAATATAGTATATATATATATATATATATATATATATATATATATATATATATATATATATATATATATATATATATATATATATATATATATATATATATATATATATATATATATATATATATATATATATATATATATATATATATATATATATATATATATATATATATATTAAATATGTTAAGTGTGTATAAAAATAAAATAAACTATTTACAAAAATGTGTATATTTCAAGAAAATATTTTCAAATGTGAATAAAATAAGAAATGAAAATAAAAGTATTTTTTTACATTATTTTCAAGTTTTAATAAACAATATAAAATATTTAAATATTTTAATGTTAGAAATAATTAAAATAAATACCAAATAAACGTAAAAATTTATGAAAATATTTTTTAGACATTTTTTATGTTTGGAAATAAAATAATGAAGTCAAAAATGAAATAAAAATGCAAAAATAATAAAAATACAAAGAAATGGGTCAGGGGGTGTGAAAAGTAAGCTGGGAGGTGTTGGAAACAAGAAGGCCAGGCCCAGCCCAGACTTCATCTTCTTCCTTGTGACAAACAGAAAAACGCGCGTGGCTAGTTCAAACCTGTATCTCCTGTTTCAGTGCTTTTTTGACAAAACTCAAAACATGAAACTTGTAGAGCATCAAACAACGATTTCAACCATATAAAACATTAAACCTAAATCTCAAAGACCAGAGAGAATTTCTCTGGCCCTAATTTCTAACCTAGTTTTTTCAGAAAGTTCATGGATGAAATTCTCCTAGCACGATTAATATAAATGAAAACTAAGCATATGTATGGTTTCAGGGCAATGAGTACAATATCTTTTATTCACAAACCTAAGGCTAAATGTTCCTAAATAGAGAGATACAAGTGCATGAAAAACCTGTTTCAGCTGAGTTCGAGTTGGACAATGCAACAACTTTCAATGGTGCCTGAGATTCTTTTGAGCTTGCTTGATGTCCCCTGAACCTTTCCCAATGCTTTGTTTATTTTGAAGTAGCCTGAATCGTTCTACAGAACTCAACCTGCAAAGCTTCAAAGCAAAAATGGTGATGTGTGTAAATGGAGTTATAATAGCTTGTGAATGGTCTAGACAGCTTAGGTGTATTGTTTAGAATGTGTTTGAAGTGATTTGGGACAAAACGCACGAGGGGATTTGATTATGGCTTGTGATTTGCAGAACTGGCCCTGTTTTGGGCAGAAATGAAGATTTTGTGCTTAAGGGTGTTTAAGGGATGAAAGGCTCGTGTTTTTGGCTTACTAGGATGTGTGAAACTTGTTTGAAAACTTTGCTTCAGTTCAATATATCAGATGTGTGTGTTCTTGACTTTTTGTACAATGCCTTGGTTTTGAAGCAAAGATGTGAAGTGACCAAGCTATGGCCTGTACAGGCTAGCTCCAAGCATGCTTAAGTTGGTGTACTATGCCTGAGATTAGGGAACTTGTTTGCTTCAAGGAAAGAAGTCCAAGGCTCAATAAAATGCAATTTGACATAAAGTTGCCTTTATGAAAATGGAAGTGCCATCTTTATGCCTAAAATGGAAATGTTCAATGTACAATGCTCTCTTAATCAGAACAATGCCAATGTCCAATATATTTGCATTCAATTTTTGAGTGTAAATTGGTTTAGAGGCCTGTAATTATGTACTAATCTAGTTTGGTCAGATTTGCAACTTGGTATGAACATGTATTGGCCATGGTTACAAAGTGAGTTTTTGCCAACTTCAAGCATTCGATTCTCCCTAACCACAAATGTGTTTGAGAAGTTATTGGACAATTTGGAAAGCTTGGAACATGTACTATAATCCATATTTGAAATGTAACTTGAGACTACAAGTGGAACTATGTGAAAAATGGCCAAGAAGATGGGTCAAAATCCTGCCTAAACTAGGGCAAAATTTCTCCAAGTTAAAAGTTTTAGGGACCCTTGTTCCAAAAATCAGAACTTGAGATCCAAGCTTCTTTTGAGAAAACTTTGTGAATCAAAGTTGTAGACTTTGTGATTGACTACAACTTTCATGTTGTAAGTTTTATTTGAATCCATTTTAATCTTGGTGAAAATGTGTGGTGAAGTTAGGAAAGATTAAGAAAATTTCATAACTTAGAAAATTTCTAAGTTATGAAAATTTTCAATTTCAAACCCTAATTTGCAATTTTTGGTTTCTTGATGAACAAGTTTCATAAATTGACATGTCTTGATGGAAAATGACTCTTTGCACTTGATTTTGACCAAAAAGTCAAAGTTTGACTCTTCAGTGTACAGTCAAATTTTGATCAATTGACTGAAAAATTCATCTGTCAATCCTATGCATTTGAGATCTTTTGAACTTGTTGAATGGGTCAAGATAATTTCATTGAGTCCTTGAGTCTATGGTTGAGCTTAATTTACCATTGGCTAGGTCAAACAGTCAAAAAATTACCTTTGTACAGTCAAAACCCTAGAAATGACCATTTTACCCTTTAGGTGATCTGATCAAATTTCTTGTGGAATTGTGATCCAAACTTGATCAAATGGTTCACATGAGTTCATAATGTTGATGTGGGTCAAAATTCATGATGTTTGACTGTCAATTGGTCACAATTGACTTTTTCCCCAATACAGCTGACTTTTAGGTCAACTGTCCAATTGACTGGGCAAAAAATTGATTCAAGGCTTGAAACTTGGTATGGACAAACTTGTGAGTCCAACATGAAGTATGAAAGTCACTTTGGGCATTGAAAGTCCAAGAATCCTTATGCAAACTCAAACCCTAATTTTAGGTCAACAGTGCAAGGAGATGTCTTGAGCAGAGCAAACCCTAGCTTGGCCTTGAGTTCCAAGAGCCTTGTGATGAGAAATGTTGGTAAAATGAGAGGTCAAATTTTGGGGTACAACAACTGCCCCTGTTCAATCTTCTTGAACCTGAAGAGTTAGATTGGCAAGTTTGCCTTTCGTGACTCGAAGGTAAAAGAGGATTGGACACTAGAGTGCCCGTAAATTTACACTCGTCAAAATATTGTTGAGGGAATGGGCTTAAAGATGCCATTTGGAGATGGTAGAATATTGTTAGAGATGGGCTTAAAGATGTCATCCAAGAATGTTTGTTGAACTGCAATGTTGTAGGTCAGAAGAATGAGCCTCAAAATGGTATTCGTGTCTGGAATGCATTTGAACTGTATCTGGAGACTGAGTTTTGTATGAGTATCAGAATGACTTCCGTGGCGATTGCACTGGGGAGAATCAAACTTCTGGTATAAGGGCCAGAATGGCATCCGTGTTTGGAGCGTATCTGAACTTGAAGTTGATAGTTGAATCTGAATGAGAGATAAAATGGCCGTCGTGTCTGGAGCGTATCTAGTCTGTATCGGATTGCTGAAGTCTGAATGAGTAGTAGAATGACCGCCGTGTCTGGGGGTGTATCCGTACTGTATTTTGACTTGAAATTCTGAGTGAGTGATAGAATGACCGCCGTGTCTGGGGTGTATCCATACTGTATCTGAATAACTGTTAACGATAGCCTTTTAA